GGGTGATAATGAATGGTTTCATCTGCCTGTTAAGGCTTCAGACTTAGCCACTTGGCCATATTTGAACAGTGAAATGTGGTATAAAAGCACAAGGAGCTCTTTCAGACATCATTCATTGCCACCAGATGAACGGGCTTTGGTTTGGAGCCTTTCTGGGAATTGAAGAGCAATCAGGGGATCTCCTAAGACCTCACGCTAAATTTTCTGGGCATTTTCTTTGCACAACACAGTTTTCCTCATGACAACTATTTGGTTCCTGGTAATCAGATGATTGGAGTCACAGCATTTATCAATCATGGACTTGCTGTGTGTTGAAACCGGGGTTTTGTATCAGTAACCACGCAGAAGATTAGCCATGACAAGAAGTGTCGGTGGCTGATTGGTGCTGATAGCATCAAATTATCAAGAACTTGGCTTTAGTTGTGAAAAGCATTATCACAGCAAGAGGCCTAAACAGCTTTTAAACAATGTTTCATGCACTAGTTTTATGTATATTATCACCTTATCAGCCGTTTCCTCCTCCCCCTGCCCTCTGCTGTGGTGTAATTAGGCCATTTTCTCGTCGCCCTCAGGCCAGATTATTTAGAGCAACAAATGCTCCACCTCCCATTTTCTTCCTCCTGTCACCCTATCCTCCCCCACTTTTAAAGCTTTTCTACTTGACAAGTGGAGAAAACACTTTTCCCTACAAACTTCTCGTTTTCATCCGTTGCATTTTTCATCTTTCAGTCTTTTCCATCATTTTTTGTTCCTGTGATACTTTCTGTCTAATCTGTGTGCTTTCCCTCTGCCTCTCAGTTGTTTTCCTCTGGCTTATCCCTCTGTCCTGCCTTCATCTGGGCAGTATCAGTCCCGCTGACCGGCCGTTATGCAACAGTCAGGTGATGTGCTAGCCTGTTGAAGGGCCTTAAGGCCCGTTGTCCCAACGGACTACCCTGAATACAGTTGAAGCAGCTGTGTTATTTGTGAAAAAGAACATTTTTATAACCTGCTTATGAAATGCTTTTCCACCAAAAAGACTTACCTCTCTTGTAAGTTGTTTGTTGTTTGTTTGCTCAATGGAAGGCACGCCATTCTAACTTTTTGTTAACCAGTGGTCAGTTTTCTGGCCCAGGGAGACCACCGACAGGACTGAGTAACCTTCCATTTTTGCAGCTGCTCACTTCGATGAAGGTCCCAGCCGAAGTCTGCCTGGTCTTTTAAAGGATGCGGCCCCTGGACACAGCTACCAATGTGAAGTGGAAATTAAACTAAATGTAAAAGTGGTCATAATGTAGCATCGTTTTACTAAACCGGTTCATCTGTGCCGGGTTCGTGTCTCTTGGTCCATATCAGCAAAGACTGGGTCATCTTCTTTGGTTGACTTATTAGCAACCAAAGATGACTTAAAACCTTCCTGGTGTTTGTGATCAAATTGTGAAGCTGTAACCAGAATATCACCCAGATACGGTTGGTGGCAAATTCCGAACATTTGCAAGGAAGTTTTCAAAATGTCTCAATCTTGGTAAGGGTTCTGGGTTTTCTTGTAGGATCATCCATCCATCCATCCATCCCTTTTTCAAAGTGGGGTCGCGGGGTCAGCAGCCTAATGGGCTCGACACACGGGAGGCGACATCGCCTCTCCTCCATTCATTTTCAATGAGACATGCGTGACAAAGCGATAATCGCGGGTCTCCCTCCTACTAAGCAAAACGCGAAAAACGTGCTTGTGAAATTTTGCAATTGTGCACGTGTCGTGCACAGGCGACCCAGCGACGCGATCCCAGAACGTTGAAATATTTTCTACTTTACATCGCTGTCGCTCGGACGAGGACCAATCAACGGAGGTTTCATTTACTGACCAATGAGCGGACAGGATGCTCCGTACACCTCTGAGCAAACATGAAGGAGAAGTTGATTAATATTATGTTTTATATAGTAAAATCAGAAGTAAGATTTCACATAACTCTAGCAGCACCTTGTGAAACATCATATCTACCGCTTTATTAACTCTGAACCGCTTAAATAACCTTAATTCCCTCCAACCTGACACAGCCAAACAAAACAACGGAAGTTTCAATTTTGCCATGGAACAGAACGCATAGACAGCTCTGCCGCTGCCGTGGGTTGCCTCCCGTGTGTCAGGTAATAAAAGCGACGAATTTCGCTGATAGTGGTCGTTTGTCGCCTCCCGTGTGTCGAGCCCCTAAAGCTTGGTTTATGCTTGACATTAACCAAGCTTGACATTGTACATTCCGCGTGGAATTGAGCATTTATGGTTCCTTCCTACCTTCTGCGGCTTGTCTCCGCTTTGAGCCAATATTAGGGCTGTACGATATTAGGAAAACCTGCGATATGCGATAACAGTGATTAATATTATGATATTACTTGCGAAAAATATAAACATAACTCTGGAACAAATGTAATCAAAAACAAAGAAATAAAAAAAAAGACTAAAAACATAAAAATGAGAAAAGCAAAAGATGTGAGGAAAGGAAAAGGAAAATAAACAAGAAAAGGCAATCAGTGGATCCCGGGAAAAGCAGAATCAGCAGAAAGAGCAGAACAAAGCTAACTCAGGTTTATAAAGAACTTTTATAAAGGAGCGCTTCTGGGACTCATCCTGGACTCTTTGGATGGGAAGATTCAGTCGAAAAAACAAGAGACACTCCAAGGCACTTTCAAATAGAAAAAGTTAAAAAGCCTTTATTGTAATGGCTAGGTCACATGTGGCCTTTTTAACACTCCAACGCGTTACGGCGAATGTAGCCTTCGTCAGAGAGTCAAATTTGAGAGTGCCTTGGAGTGTCTCATGTTTTTTAAAGCTAACTCAGGTGTTTGCTAACCATCAAAATTAAGTGCCGTCCGCCTCGGTGGCGGGCATCTGACCTTTGAGAACCCACCCAATTGGCCAAATGGGTGAAGAGCTCTATTTGATTTGTTAAAAAAAACATCAACTTGACAGAATGCATTATGTGTAGCAAACATTTGAGCTGACCATTTATTGCTATATTTATCTGTTCTTTGTGAAATGCATATTGAGCATGCTGATATCGCCATAACGATATATTAGCGATACATTGTGCAGCCCTGGCCAATATTCTCCCAGGCTGTAGGGGGCGGCATGAGGCTCTACGGCATGCATCCAACACAGTTGTTTACAAAATGTTTTCACTGCGTCCACTTCTTTTTTGTCTCGTGGTCTCAGACTCAAAGGATCTTCAGACTCTCTGATAATTTCCTAACACTTCAGTCAGCAATGTCACATGCATCTGGAGCTTGTCGGGAACCCTTCTATGGGTTTTCTGAGAGTCCAAAAATGTGAGAAAACTTTGGGAGGGTTTGGTGACCACATTACAAATGGAATTTTAGTAAACAGAGATGTGATAAAGACATTGCATTTGTGGACCTTTCAGACCATCTCTTCTACTGTGAGCACATTTTTAAGCCCAGCCTGCTTGATTCAAGAACAAATAAGGAAAAAGCTGCATTTAGCTGTGGATTGTTAGAGTGTTTATCTTTAATACGTGTTGTGGGTGATGCACAGTCAACATTTCAACATAATGTATTGTGTCAGTACTCTAAACATATGGTGAAATGACATTTATGGATCCTGCATGAAACAATGCGCATAAAACACATTTGCAGTGGAGATAATAATTATCGTAATTGTGGTCAGAAATGTAGGTCTGCCTTAAAATGGGCGTTCACAAACCCTGTTATTTAAAAACGTGCTAAAACGATAATATTATGGCTTAGATTTGCAGGAGAACAAGACAAAAACTATAATTAGTGACAATCTGTTTGCCTGAACTGTGATCTACAGTCATTCATTATACTCTCAAGGAAAGTAGCACAATATTTTGGGCAAGTCCCAGAATGACATTGTTAAGGAGAAGTTTGGGTTACGGCAGCGTGGCTGACTGAAGTAGGAGTGGATCTGATTTGGTTGTAAAGGTGGAACGGAGCCTCCGATCGCAGATCAGTAGCTTGTGCTAGATTAGAGTCTCCACTGGCGTCTCAGTCATCTCATTTTTGTCCCTCTTACTGCGCCATATGGGACAAGTCTGCCAGCATGAGAGGACCATATGGCAGCGTTCTCTGCCAGTCCATGTTTCATTTAATGTTGTGTAACTTTCACTTTCTCTTATTTGGAATCAAGGAAAGTAATTTGAGGATGAGAGAAGTATTATATCAGAGCACATCAAACAACACAAATAATAAATAATCCTAAAAGACTGAGCTGGGAAAAGCCTACAGGAATTATTTCTGTCTGAACTTAATTACGGACACCCACTGAATTCCCACTGGGCTGCCCACTTATTGCCTCCAGGCTCATTACACTGGTACATTGTTGTTTTTTCTGTTAGCCACTCTCCCAGTTTGATAATGCACTGTCCGGGTTGTTTACATCCATGGAACATTAATGCTTGTTTATTTAATTTCTTCTTATTATGTTTAATAATGCAGCAAACAAACAACCACTTAACTTTTTATTTCTGTGTCAGTCGAGCTCAACCTAACCCTACGCTGCAGCGGTGCTTCACAAAAGCACTCGTGTAGATTAAAAGCTTCCATTTAATTAAAAAATCTGTTGTCTGAAAATCTAAAGTGAACACTTGATCAAAGGAAGACAGATGGCTTTATTTCAGCTTCCCCTCTGTGCGCATAAACAAGGAAGTTACCTTACTGATTCCAGCTGTTCTGCCTCCACTAGTGCTCCCTGCCACAGGACAATAAAGTCCGCGGCAATAAAGTCCGCGGCAACGCCCCCGTACCCCCTTTATACCGCCATCGCATAATCAGTTGTAAAAAGGACATGATTGTGCCACATTACTCAGGTTTGGCCACGATACTCCAAAATTGCTGGCATTGTTTTCTAAAAGAAGCTTGAGAGGCATTCACATCCAACTTGCAATGCTGTTTAAAAGAAATCAACCAATATTTCTAAATATCACCCAAATGGCTACAAAAAATTCATGAACTAACTTTCTGATTTGTTTCTTTTTCGTCGTTTTCAGGTGCTGCTACTTGCTGAAAATGAGCAGTGGTGGGGCGGACACCCCGGAGCCCCCCAAAGGGGAGGCCCTGAAGAGGAAAGACTGTCAGTCAGACCTCCTGGGACCCAGGTGAAAGCCTTCTACTTGCCTGCTTTAGCTATAGCTACCTAAACAGCCTCAGTTGGGACAAAGGACTGATGAGCTAACCGCTAGTCAGAACCTAGCTGCTGCTGTTTTAAAACGGCTCAAATCCTCAGTGTTAAACATACGCATTTCTGTCACTTTCACGTCACTAGTTATTTATGTGAAAATTACAAGTGTAAGCATCAGAATCAGCACACAAGTGGGCCCCTCTGGTGCATCAGGTCCAAAATGACGGTGATGTAAGGGTTTAAAATGTCACAGTGCATTATGAGATTTAGAGAATCAAAGGTCCTTTAGGCTGAGGAGGTGCGCTTTGGTCAGCAGTCCTGAAGGGAACACTATTTCTCATAACAGAGGCTGTTCAGAAACCTTTTTACACCAGTAGATTACATGGTGGAAATATCAGCGGGACTGATGAATATAGACGCTCCGGGAAGTCTTCGGGTCGTTTCGGTTTTCTTTTTGATGCATAGATGCACAGGGACGATCAAAATAAATTCTATTTCAGCGCACAGTTTAGGACTCATCGTACATGATAAACATGAGTTCAGGGCTCATTAGGGGGACTCGTTTGTGTGGGAGGAGTCACAAAGAGCGATGCTACTGCAGCGTGTTGCACCGAGGTTGTGATCCTCGTTAATGTCAGGTCGCAGAGAGGTCAGGAAGTTAATTTAAGGTTACTGGGGAAGCCTTTGTTCCACAGAAGAGAGCTGGTCACCACACTGAAACAAAAGCCTGTCAGACTCAATGTCAGTCATGTTTCCACAACCACTCCAGACAATTAGGCCCTTTTCTTTCTGTGTTTCATTCATGACTCGTTTCTGTCCCGCAGTCCGAAGAGGAGTACAGAGCGGCGGAACAGGGAGCAGGAGAACAAATACATCGAGGAGCTGGCAGAGTTGATCTTCGCCAACATCAACGACATGGACGACCTCAACGTCAAGCCGGACAAATGTGCCATCCTGAAAGAGACGGTGAAGCAGATCCGACAGATCAAAGAGCAGGGTGAGATCCTCAGTGACCAGGGTGTGTTTGCACGTCGGAGCTGCACCACGGTTGTTCTCGGAGGGCCATCCTCTAGATCTGTCACCCGGCAGAGAAAGGACTCCACTCCACAGAACGAGTCCTGTCTCTACTGAGGTGTACAACAGAATACGAGTATTTGTGTGGCTTGTTTTCCATCCTTCCATCGCCTTCTCTTTTTTTCCTATAATCTCTCCTCTGTTTGTTCTCTGTCCTTCCTCCTCATTCCTTCTTTTCTTCCTTTAACATCATTCACAACAATCTGTTCTTATTTTAATAGTTTTTTTTATGTTTAATTTCAGTCAAAACTTCTTTCCTATCTTTCCACCTTCCTCCCTCCATTTTTCCTAACGTATTTTCCCATCTTCTCACGCCTCCATCTGTGCTCTACAGCCCCAGTCTGCTCCTTCCATCTTCCCTCCCTCCATCACCCATTTCCTCATCTCCTCGCTTCAGCTTGTGGGCCTGCAGTCACTCAGTTGGTGTCCATGTGTCATGGCTCTGTTTGCGCCTGAAAACAACAGCTGAATAAGCACACACTTGCACACAGGGATAACACGCACGTCACACAGCTGCACAGTCACCAGCAGAAACCTGCTATTGTTGAAGCTCTTTTAACAGCTGAGCAGCAGCATTTGAAGGTAAAGGTCCTCTGACGATGTGCTCACAGATCCCAGAATTAAAACATTCCCGCTGCAAATGTGGACTTCTAATTTGTTCCCAAACCGGCTTTCAGAGTTGAGGTCTTCTGGGTCCTGCCTCACCAACGGCAGGATGGAGTTACAGGATGTAAAGTGTTTGTGTACGCTCCTAGTAGAGCTCCTGTTAGCTCATCAGCATTATGTTTGTTGGCGTGGCTGGTCTGTGGGTCTCCGGAGGCAGCAGACAGGTACCGGATAGCCAAGCGGGGTGCAGCAGTGGCAGTTGCCGAGGCAAAATCTCGGGCGTGGGAGGAGTTTGGTGAGGCCATGGAGAAAGACTATCGATCGGCTCCAAAGAGGTTCTGGCAAACTGTCCGGCGCCTCAGGAGAGGAAGGCAGCAACTCGCTCACACTGTTTACAGTGGGGGTGGGGAGCTGCTGACGTCAACTGAGGCTATAGTCGGACGGTGGAAGGAATACTTTGAGGAGCTCCTCAATCCCACCAATGCGCATTCCGAGGAGGAACCAGAGCCGGGAGACCTGGGGATGGACTGTCCGATCTCGGGGGCAGAAGTTGCTGAGGTAGTCAAACAACTACACAGCGGCGGAGCCCCGGGGGCGGATGAGGTTCGTCCTGGGTATCTCAAGGCTATGGATGTTGTAGGGCTGTCATGGTTGACACGTCTCTACAACATTGCGTGGTCATCGGGGGCAGTTCCTAGGGAGTGGCAGACCGGGGTGGTGGTCCCCATCTTTAAGAAGGGTGACCTGAGGGTGTGTTCCAACTATAGGGGGATCACACTCCTCAGCCTCCCTGGAAAGGTCTACTCCAAGGTACTGGAGAGGAGGGTCCGATCGATAGTTGAATCTCAGATAGAGGAGGAGCAATGTGGTTTTCGTCCTGGCCGTGGAACTGTGGACCAGCTCTATACCCTTGCAAGGGTGATGGAGGGGGCATGGGAGTTTGCCCAACCAATCCACATGTGCTTTGTGGATTTGGAGAAGGCTTATGACCGTGTCCCCAGGGGTACCCTGTGGGGGACGCTCCAGGAGTATGGGGTGGGTGGCTTTCTGTTAAGGGCCATTCAGTCCTTTTACCAGAGGAGCGTGAGTTTGGTCCGCATAGCCGGTAGTGAGTCTGACCTGTTCCCAGTGAGGGTTGGACTCCGCCAGGGCTGCCCTTTGTCACCGGTTCTGTTCATCACTTTTATGGACAGAATTTCTAGACGCAGCCGTGGTGTGGAGTGTGTCGAGTTTGGTGGCAGGAGAATCTCGTCTCTGCTTTTTGCGGATGATGTGGTCCTCCTAGCTTCATCCAGCTCTGACCTTCAGCTCTTGCTGGGTAGGTTCGCGGCCGAATGTGAAGCGGCTGGGATGAGGATCAGCACCTCCAAATCTGAGACCATGGTTCTCGACCGGAAAAGGGTGGCTTGCCACCTCCGGGTCGGGGGAGAGGTCCTACCTCAAGTGGAGGAGTTTAAGTATCTCGGGGTCTTGTTCACGAGTGAGGGTAGGAGGGATCGGGAGATCGACAGGCGGATTGGTTCGGCGTCTGCAGTGATGCGGACGCTGAGCCGATCTGTCGTGGGGAAGAGGGAGCTGAGCCAGAAAGCCAGGCTCTCGATTTACCGGTCGATCTACGTCCCAATCCTCACCTATGGTCATGAGCTTTGGGTAATGACCGAAAGAACGAGATCGCGGATACAAGCGGCCGAAATGAGTTTCCTCCGTAGGGTGGCCGGGCTCAGCCTTAGAGATAGGGTGTGGAGCTCGGACATTCGGGAGGGACTCGGAGTAGAACCGCTGCTCCTCCGGATCGAAAGGAGCCAGTTGAGGTGGTTTGGGCATCTGGTCAGGATGCCTCCTGGACGCCTCCCCGGGGAGGTGTTTCGGGCATGTCCTGCCGGCAGAAGGCCCCCGGGTCGACCCAGGACACGTTGGAGAGGTTACATCTCCAATCTGGTCCGGGAACGCCTTGGGGTCCTGCCGGAGGAGCTGGTGGACAAGGCCGGGGAGAGGACGGCCTGGAGCTCCCTAGTTGGGATGCTGCCCCCGCGACCCGGACCCGGATAAGCGGAGGAAGACGGTGAGGAGTCGAGGGTTGCTGCACAGGCATTTAGATCCTCCACTAGGGGGCAGTAGACATGTACACAACTGGGGCCTCATTTATCAAGCTTGCTTACGCACAAAATGGGGTCGGAAAACTGCGTAAGCAACTTTCCACGCAAACTCTGGGATTTATGAAAGAAAATTTAGCGGAAAAATGTGCGCAACTTTAAGTTGACTAAGGACCTGGCTTGCACACATTTTGGACATGGAGAGCACCTGCAGTGCTGCTGCTGAGAAGGATAAAATTATGAAATCCTGCAGCATTATCACTTGTACTGCTTCGTTTTCACACAGAACAAGACCCCCCACACGCGCACACGCACACACACGCACACACACACACACGCACGCGCACGCGCACACACGCACGCGCGCGCACACACACACACACACACGCACGCACGCGCACGCACGCACGCACGCACGCGCACACACGCACACACGCACACACACACACACACACACACACACACACACACACACACACACACACACACGCACGCACACACACACACACACACACACACACACACACACACACACACACACACACACAGCCTGAAGCCCAGAATACGGAATGCAGAATATCAGCAGGGGGACAGATTGAGACAGAATGTCATGCATCTGTGACAGTCAGTGCGTTTACATGCAGCCAGTAACCCTTTTAAAACCCGAATATTCACAATAACCCTGTGACCCAGGTCCTTGTAAACACAGCCAAAAACCCTGATATGCTCATAACCGGGTTTTTTAAAAACCCGGTTACTACACCTGGGGTAACCCTTTTCTAACCCGAATGTTTGATCGTGTAAACGCATATCGGGATATCCCCATAAAAGCGTGTGTTCTGCGCATGCTCTGTTCGCAAGGAATCTTGGTCTTTTGAGTAGCGAGACGTCTTGTATGCGCCAGAACACCGGAAGTAAACAACAAGTTGGGAGCAAAATGGCGAGTCGCGGCTCCGCACCACACTTTTGGAATGACGAAGAAACTAAAGCGCAAACAAACGCGGTCGCTATCTCTTCCGAACTGGGAAACATGTTGTTTTCACGGATACTGGAACAAGAAGAACCGGAAATGACGCATATTGTGTCTTGACGTAGTCCATACGTCCTGACGCTACCCCAACGTCCGCATTTAAATCAGGTTATGCAAGTTAGGGGTAACTCTTTCTATTTATGCTTGTAAACGGGTTATTCTGATCAACTCAGAAACCCGAATACCGACCTTAACCCGATCATAACCCGGATATTGGCTGCATGTAAACGTAGTCACTGTGTGTGTCCTGTCACTGTGACCCGATTGATCATGCGCCCTGGCTACTTCGACAAGGGAGATCTCCGTTTAGGTGACTGGTTAGCGTGCGTGACTTTCACCTGGGAGTTCGGGGATCGAATCTCGATTGGACCATTTTTTTTTATATCCGCCACAGATCTCTCTGAAGAATTCACAACATTGATGGCTTCAGCAACGCTGTGCCACTCCGTGGATTTTCTCTTATTTGTTTTGCAAAAGCACTTCCTTTCATTTCTCCACCTCACCCACAGGTACCTCAATTTCTGCTTCTGTGAAATTGCGCTTCCTCAATCTGCCTTGATCTACGGTCGCCATGTAATTGGTGGAGCGCTGCAACAGCTTGCTTATGTATATGCATGAGATCAACAAGCCACTTTGCATTGACTATTTATGGCAGTAAGTGGGTGTGGTGAGGGCGGGATGTGACTAAAAAGCAGCTGAGAACATTTCTAGATAGTTTCTGATTTATGAAACGGAGATTGCGTGCAGCTATGCGTACTCCATGTTTGATAGATCACAAACCTACTTGGTGTAAGTACATATTTTTTTTGCTGAGCTTAAGGCCTAGTCCACACGTAGCCGGGTTTTTTTTAAAAACGAATATCCGCCCCTCCAAAAACTTGCATCCACACCACCTCGTTTTAAAAAAAAAACTCTGTCCGTACCCAGATAAATACGTTGTTAAGGACATGCCAGACCTGTAGGCGGCAGTACTTCCCCCGTTCTTAACCTCGTCCTTCGTCTGTGGTCTTCCGCAAGGAGCAGTAATTCCGCTTGCAAAAACAAACAAGCAAAAAGCGCTTGGACCATTGATAAGGCAAGCGCAGCTCTGAGGGCATCCATGCTGTCAGCTAGTGTAAACACAGGTCGCACACATGATGTCAGCATTTTTTTTTGTCGCGGAAAGTGACGTTGCGGACCTTAAAACTCCGGTTTTGTCTGTCCACACGCAGACAACCAAAACGGAGAAAACGCAGATCTTCACTTTGGCCGGAGTTTTTAAAAATTTCGTGTGGAAAAAAACTCCGTTTTCGTGTGGATGACGGGCCAAAACGTAGAAAAATATCTACGTTTTGGCAGATCCCCGGCTACGTGTGGACAGGGCCTGAGTTCGGTTTTAGTAAGGATTCTATGCAATGTTTGATAAATGAGACCCCTGAACATGACAGGTTTCAGATGAAAGTACTAATCCTGGTACTCCATCTTGTTTTAGGATTCAAAAATGCATTTACTTTATTGTTGTTGAATTCGTGCAGCGTGGGGTGTCGAACGTACCAATACGTTCATTTGCAAACGAATCTGTAACGTTTTAATGGTCACGCAGAAACTGTTCATTCTGAGAAAAGCTGGTTTAACTCGTCATGAGTTTAGACACACCACCTAAAGTTAGCATGTCCCAACCCACTTCAGCATCGGAAATATATTAGCTAATGCTAGCTGCAGAGCAATGCTAGCCTGAGCTACTGCTAACATTCCAATTCAAACATATGGTTAGATCCCAGATAGTTCCTTAGTTTGTCAATAGAGTTATCTAGTCATGGCACAGTCAGCTTCAGGCTGCATCTTAGAGTCATCAAAGTAAACCAGCCAATCAGCACGCAGCTAATTTCATATTCATGCCCTGGTCACGCCTTGTTTGGTTGTAATGCCTTGTGAATGTGCTTTATAAATAAAATTGGATTGGAATTGGATTGGAAATGGTCGGGTGTTTGTCCTTTTTTACCAGGGCCATTTTGAACCCAATTTCCACCAGTTTAAAATGTATTTGTTGAACTCCTTTAACCCTCTGGAGGCAGGTGTTGCAGATCTGCAACAGTTAAAACCTACCTACCTGGTTACTCCACATGCGTATTTCATGAGCATTTTTTAACTCAGAAGTACCCCTGAAGGGCTTAGTTGTTCGTCCTTTTATCAAAACTTATTTAGAGCCTGAGAGGGTTAAAATCAGAGTTGATTTTAGTGAATCTGATGTAGAAGAGGTTAATGAGCAGTCTTGTCTAACTGAACCCACTTCTAAAGTGTGCCTTTTAAAAACGCATCTGATTGTACAAATGTTACCTTACAACTTTTACATTAGTCCTCTTTTTTGCAAATGTGGACCTCTGAGGGGTCCTGTGGGACATGTAAGCCTGTCCCGATTGCTACATATACCTGTAGAAGGATCACTGATCATCGTCTTGGAAGAAAGCCAGACTTTGATTCTGAGACAAAGTCTAATCAGTCACTCAGAATCTTTCAGAGGAAAATTATATCCTGATCAAATTTATAGAGTAAAAACCTCCCACCCACCCTGCACCGTGGTGCCGTTCCAGGCTTTGGAGTGACACGCTTTTTTAACGGCTGATGACTCCACAGCTCCGGTCCCACTAAGGAATGCCAGCTATGTGGCCTAATGGGGCCACAGGAGGCTTAACAGCCCAGTGGCACAGCCATGAAGAAGAACTGCTCTCTAGAATGTCTGAAAACTGTGCAGGACATTAGCGGTGTGGTGATGCGTTCAGTGTGAGTAAAACAACACGCTGGCTAACGTTTCATCGCAGTTTGTTCTCTTTATTTGTCTTTGAGCTGCTGATAAGCTGGTTTTACTACATCAGTCATGAGGAACACATCCACAACATTTAGATAATTACAAGTTTTTCCTCTCTTTCTGAGCTTTATTGTTATTTGTTTCATCCAAAAGCAAAGCTGGTTGAAGAAGACATCTTCTAGAGCTGTTTGGTCTCCAGTTCACTTTAATTTTTTTGTCCCTTTTCCTTTGATGTCTCTTAACAGAAAAGGCTCCGGTGGCGGATGCTGAGGAGGTGCAGAAGGCAGACATCTCCTCCACGGGGCAGGGCGGCATCGATAAAGACACGCTTGGCCCAATGATGTTGGAGGTGAGTTTCACCAACGATCCTTCTCCACACCAGGAAGAAGAAAGTTTAAAAGCAGTGAGGATTTATTTCTCGTCTAATAAACAAGTTTCACGTTGACTCTTAACGAGGTGTACCTCAAGGATCTGTACTTGGCCAAGAGAAATGTTCTGAATAAACACTATTTCACCGTGAAATATGGAAATACTTTCCTATAAAAGGAAAGAGCCATTTGTAGGTATTACTAGTAAAACTTGGACCAGTTTCATTCTTTTTTTTATATTACTTGTGTTTTTGGAGTTTTAGAACAAATAGTTTAATTAGATTATAATTCAGATTATTGCAGTTCAAAACCATTTACTTATATGTACTCCAAAACAAGTAAGTTAAATAAAACAATATGTTGGAAACATAAATACTATAAAAATATACTATCTTTTACTTTCAATTCAGTCCAGGTGCATTTCTAAAAATGTAAATTATAATCCAATTGTTTGTAATTCAGTCATTTATTAAAAATAAAATTTATTTAGGTTATCTGTTGCTAATTAAGTTTAGAGTAAATTTGGTTCATTCCACTTTTAATATTTATCCAATCAAACACAAAGATAATGTGTCATACTGAATCAGTTTTGCTTTCACTTTTATATTTAAGTGTCTTTTGCTTTATTTGGTGTTTTATTGTGTTTAACCTGCAGGTCTTTGGTCAAAGTCTGTCATATCTATTAGTTTGCATGCAGTGAACTATTTTTTTAAAGCTTTGTAGAGGAAATGATATGAAATGTCAGAGCCACAGCAGTTTAGCAGAGGAAAATGCACATTTTAAATAAGAAACCTGACTTCAGCAAAGCGGCCAGTGTTTTATGATGCTGCTTAAAACCTTTGGAGCCTGTTGGTGACTGGAGTCAGCGTCACACGCAGAGATAGGTCAGAGTTCCTCTGGCCTGCAGGAATGTCGTCATCAAGCTGGCTGGAGTTTCTATGTGTGCACAAGTGTGAGGTGACGTTTACCATGGGACCCACTGAGGTATAAATACCTTTGGGAAAATCCAGATTAGAATAAGACACACACACACACACACACACACACACACACACACACACACACACACACACACACACACAGCGTTAGCAGCATTTTCAGCGTCTGCTCAGAGTCTAAAAGATAAACATCAATGTAACCAAGAACATTTCCATTCTATGCAAATCCACCCTGGTGCACGGATGGACGTGCACTAACAAGGCAGTTTGCACATTTGTGTAGAAAAAGATGGAATGAAAAAGAACAAAAGAATGGAAAAGCACATGCAAACAATACTAGCACGCCTGATGTGGGAATAATGCAAGTTAATCAGGATAAAGAAAACATTTCATTTATTTCAGAAAGAAAAAAAACACGTCAAACATCCATAGTTTGGGTTTATTGGTTGTTTTTTGGTGTTCTTGAGTTGGGAGGATATTTTTAGTTTATTTTGAAGGTCCTTTATTGTTTGCATCAGTTAAATCATGATCTTTTCCATTCCTGCCTGCTTCGTCACTCATCTTCCCCTTCTCCCATCTTTCAGGCTCTGGATGGTTTCTTTTTTGTCGTCAACATGGAGGGCAACATAGTGTTTGTATCGGAGAACGTCAGCCAGTATTTGTGTTACCAGCAGGAGGAGTTGATGAACACCAGCGTCTACAGCGTGCTGCACGTTGGAGACCATGCAGAGTTCATCAAGAACCTTCTTCCTAAAAGTCTGGGTGAGACCGTCATGTAGTTAAAAGGGAATCAAATGTGGCAAACATTGTGTTTATGTGCTTTGCCAAAACATTCGTTATCAGGATTCTGTCTTTCTGATTTCCTCATCAATGGAAAGTTTCAGATGAACCCTTTAACTTCCACACCATGACAAAAACAAGTTTCCTTTTCATTTTTCAACTTCATTCAGAGCATTAACAGTTGTTTGTTGATTTAATCATGTAGAAATGATCGTTCTGATAATAATGTAAGCTAAAATGAGTTTAGTGGTGAAAATTCCCCAATTTCTTTAAAAATTGTATTTAATTTTTATTTGTTTTGGTTGCATTGAGTGCATGTTGCCGTAGGGACTAAAACAGGTGTTGACCAGCCAGGAAAAACACTTGTGCAAAAGTCCCGTGCAAAAGTAACAGGACATAATTTGATCAATAGTGGAATGGAAATCACCGGGGTTTGGTGCCATGTTTCAATTCAGCACATTTAGAGTTTTTGTAAAACTTCAGAAAAAAGTGAAATGTGCTCAATGTGCTGGAAACTCGAAGTTAAATGTTAGGCACAAATAAAAGTCCTTTAAAAACCTGAACCGAGGATCGATTCTGAACCAATAAGGACAAGATGGTGGTGTAGCTGTTCGGATCGTGGTTTTCAGTCACGGGTCAGATGGTTTTTGGGATCAGCAGAGAGAAAAGAAAACGACACATATAGCTTTGCTCTCCCTTTATTGTGGAGAACACTAAGTGCAACATTTTTCTGTTCATTTAGCAACTTGCTGCAGAAAATAGGAAATGTAGAAAGGTCCAATTGCAGATTAAATGTTAAAACGGCTTGCCATAGTCGGTTCAATTCCAGCATGTCCTGCTTTCACTCATCTCCTCACCTTTCTGAAACTCTGTTTATTTTTCTTTCTTCCTGTTTTTGTCCCCAACAATATTTAAGGTCCCATCACATTAATGTAATAATTGTCCTCCCTCCCTCCCACCTCCCTCCTTTCACAGCGATCAGAGGTACGTGTGCACAGCACTATGCCATCAGGCTGGTGTGTGTGTGTGTGTGTGTGTGTGTGTGTGTGTGTGTGTGTGTGTGTGCGTGCGTGCGTGCGTGCGTGCGTGCGTGCGTGCGTGCGTGCTCATTTTAGCCGTTGGTATCATCATGTTTTACAGGGAAGCAAAAATGCTCCCATACATGAGACTTATACGATGCAGGAGGTTTTTCAAGCTCCTCCTTTTCCATCTCCTCTCCTTCGCTGCCATGACCACCGTTGTGCCTTCCTCCATCGGATTGAACAGGTGGCGCCTCGGCCCTCCACGACCAAATGGCGGACCGGGCGCCTGCCGAGCCATAGAGAGAGATCCGTGCGGATCACAGATCAATGATGATCCGTTGCTCCCCTAGTTAATGAAGATGTAACCACAAGAAAGCTTGGAGGACAATTCTCATGAACAGATCAGACAAGTTTGTGTTTCCCAGATAAGTGTTTTGTTTAGAGACGGATATGCAGCATTCCTGCTAAAAGAGCGTATCTAATCTATGAAACACGCTGCTGATGCTTCCAGACTCCTTTACTTGAGTTACACTCTCACATCTACAGTAAAAATGTCATTTTTTTCACCCGTTATTTCAGAAAAACTTCATTTTGCAACACAACAACCTAAAATACCAAACTACTCACCGCAGAATTAAAAGTCAAAGTCCTAATTTTTTATTTTATTGTTTTAATCTTTTATTTCATTCACAATGTATAAAATAAACACAAACAAATACAGGATACATTAACATATTGAAAAAAAAACATTTGAATGAAAAGGAGCAGATAGAAGAAAAAATCTTATGATTTTTGCCCCTTTTTACGAAATAAAATTATCCGTCAAACAAACAATATAACCTCAGTCACTTTCTAATATTTTCATGTCTAATCTTTGACATTATAATTCACCTTTTCATAATTACTAAATACATTAGATTTTATACATTTTTTAAATATAGCAAGTGAAGTTGATTCTTTAAATTCCTTGTTAATGGCATTCCACAATCTTACACAACTTTAATCTGGCACAATCCGAAGGTAATAATAAAACATCATCAGGGGCATGTCAGCCTCTCTAAAGTGTCTTATGTAAAAGCCAAAGCCTCCTGGTTGAGCTGCTGTGGCCCCCAGACTCTGGACCCCCCCCCCCCCCCCCCCCCCCCCCCCCCCCGAGATCGGAGGACTCTGTGGTCTCCTTTAACCTCACCTGTTCAGGTTTTGGTGTGACCTTCATCACCGCTTTCTCCTTATTCTGCTCTTATTCCGCCTTTCCCGGGATCCACTGAATTCCCTCTCTCCTATTCATTTTCTCCCTTTTCTTACATTGTTTTCATCAGAATTAATTTTTTTTTTCACATTTTAAACAAATTTTAAACATTTTCTAAATCTGTTTATACTTGATTTTTTAGTTTTTGCGAAGCGCCTCGTGATTTTTATCTTGAGATATAGAAAAGATTGTTTTCTTTCTTTCTTTCTTTCTTTCTTTCTAAAACTCGTCTTACCTGTCCAATAAAATGGTTCAACAGGATTGATGAGCTGTTGGCTCGTCCAAAAAGAGCTTGAATATATTTTAATTATAGCTTCAACCTCCTTAATCTTCCTTATTTCTGTTACCCTTCAAGTCTCTGTTGATTCAGTTATTGCTTATTTGAGCAGAAACACTCAAAAAGTTTGTTTCCAAATAACTGAAAAATCCTTTTCATACACTTTTTATCTTGCTGTGGATCTGGAATATTAGAGCGTTTTCCAAATTTCCTCCTCTGGTTTTCCAGTCAACCACCGCAGCGCTGACTCCTCCACCAGGAACAGCCACACCTTTAACTGCCGCATGTTGGTCAACCCCCACGCCGACGGCGAGGCCCGGCTGACCCCGGATCAGCCGGACGCGGCGCAGCAGAAGTACGAGACCATGCAGTGTTTTGCTGTTTCTGAACCGAAGTCCATCAAAGAGGAAGGTGAAGGTAAACATTTCCTTTCATCTGCTGGATCCTTCAGGCGGAGGACTCGTGCCGGTATTCCGCTCTGTTTGGATTTTTCCCTCTTTGCATCAGCGTTTTGGTTTGTTTTGGATACGTTTCCGTGTATTTTTCGATCTCTTAATAATTTCCACTTTTCCGCTGCTCTGTGGAGTTTTTGTCGTCTTCTTCATCTTTCTGTCCCGTTGTGATTTTCTGTCACTTTCCCATCAGTCTTCCCAGCCCCGCCCTCCGAGTCTCCCGTGTCCTGTCCTCCTTCCATCACTTCTCTCCACTTTCCCTCCCTTCCACTGGGAGAGCCTAATTAGTGTGTTGTCAGCTTCCCATCTAATCCAATCACACACAATGCACACGGAGGAGAAGACTGCATCTGCCTCTAATTATAGACGTCTGACAACCAGACACCGTCTTCGGCCCGAGGAGGATCTCTGGTGGACCGACTCGGGGCTGCAGCCTGAGCTTGTGTTGGAGCACATGTGTGGATTCTGCTAAGATTTCCACGTCTGGGATTTATTTAGGGTATTTCTTAGGATCAATGTGTGTGAAAATGAAAAAAAAAAATTATAATAATAATAATAATCTCCATTAACTAAACAGGAAAAGGCTACATTTGATGGTGTCTCCATTAAAACCAAACGCCTTCATACGTTCAGATCTGAAGCTTGTTTTTGTTAAAAAAAACTTTCGGTAACACTTTAGTTTAGGGAACACAAATGAACCATTAATAAGCTGCCAGTTAATATCCATATTAGTGGACTGCTAAGTCTGAACTAGTGATTATTAAGCACTTATTAACAACTTATTACTAATGCCATAATTCTAACATTAACAGGCCATAAATTAAGAGTTGTATCATTCATAATGGTTTGTTAACTGAAAGTAAATGGTTTGTTGTTTATTAACACACATACCAATGAGCTCAAATCAATATGTGGCTTTTAAAGAAGTAATTCAAGGGGAACATATTCTTGCCTTTAAGTGGTTAACTAATACAGAACTACTAGTAATTAGGTAAGAACAAAATCTGACTTTAGAAAGGGGAACATTTTCTTGCTTACAAATTAAGTTAAAGTTAAAAGTTTAAGTCCCATTAGTTGTCACACACACTGATGTGTGTGCGAAATTTGCTCTCCGCATTTGACCCATCCCCTGGGGGAGCGGTGAGCTGCAGACACAACGGCGCTCGGCAACCATGTGGTGGTTTAACCCCCCAATCCAACCCCGTAATGCTGAGTGCCAAGCAGGGAGGCATTGGGTCCCTTTTTTTTTTTTAAGTCTTTGGTATGACCCGACCAGGAATTGAACCCTGATCTCCCAGTCTCGGGGCGGACACTCTACCACTAGGCCACTGAGTGGTTAATTGATTGTTGTTTGGGCTCTGTTAACATGTGGAGTTTGGTGTTTATGTACATAATACCAGAACATAATATTTTTGGTTATTAATGCCGAATAACTATTCCCCTTGAATTACTTCTTTAAAAGCCACATATTGATTAGAGGTAATTGGTAGGTGTGTTAATAAGCAACAAGCCATTTACTTTCAGTTAACAAACCATCATGAATGGCTTATTTTGATAAAACTCTTAATTTATGGCCTGTTAATGTTAGAATTTCGGCATTAGTAATAAGCACGTAAAAATAGCTTAATAATGACGATCTTTGGTACGTTCTTGCTGTGTCTGATTTCGAATTCCATTTTTGGTTATTTTTTAAAACACAGAATAGGTTTATCTTTACCTTACCTTGCTTGCTGACAGTTTTGTTCGAGGCTGCAAACATCCTCAGAGCTGATGGTGGCGTCACTTCCTACTCCATTTATCTGCAGCAGAGGACGTTGTCGCCCTCTGCTGGCCGCTGATCTCACATGATGCAGTCCTATGCACGATCCAATGTGTAGACCCCATCGTCTCTGTTCATAGTCCCGCATCCACGTCTCCTTATCTCTATGGCTTCCTTTATCCATCGTTTGTATTTCTGTTGTTCGCTGTTTGTGATCCTTGTGTTGTCCCAGCAAGCAAGGTAAAAAGAAACCTTTTCTGTGTTTAAAAAAAATGAACCAAAAATGGAATTAAAAATGACTGATTCAGACTTAGTAGTCCACTAATAAGCATATTAATTGGCAGCTAATTAATGGTTGATTTGTGTTCCCTAAACTAAAGTGTAACCAAACTTTCTTTTGATTTCATGATTAAGTCGACTCCATCATTGGAATCCTAAAACAGAAACACGGTCTGATGTTTTAGTGACGAACTTGCGACATTTTGGAAACTTTTATGCTAAACCCTAAAAGTATTTCCACTATTAAGTCTCCTCCTGATTTATTATTCTAACGGCTCTTTTATGAGATTGTTTTCAGTCAATAACAGAATTATTTTGTGCAAATTTAGATTTCCAGTCATGTCTCATTTGTGTGGCGAGAAGAGTTCCTGTGAAGGAGAGGCCGGCGATGCCGGCGTACGAGAGCTTCACCACACGGCAGGACCTTCAAGGTAGGTCCAGACCATGGGGTGTGCAGTCTGTGGTTCTGGGGCCGCTCTTTGCTGCTTTTCTCCGGTCCTGTCTCTATGACGGAGTGCTACTGATATCATAAACAGGCTGGCCAGTTTGCTGTAACCTGATCTGCTTGTTCCTCAGACGGTGTGATATTTACTCTGAAACCCATCTGTTATTTAAACACATCTGAGCAAAAAGATGAAGAACAGTAAAAAGCAGTTTTACACACAGATTAAAATAACTTCTACAAAACGATGGCAAATTATTCTGACTACAGTGAGAACTAGAAATAAAGAAACAACTCGTTACTAAGTTTTAATCTGATTATTTATAAGGACATTTATTTTGGAGGGGTAGTAATACATTTTCTGCAAACAAGTCCCCACTTGGATATAACTAATGAGGACACACACATCAAATTAATAAAATCATGTAGTTCAGAGCCTCCAAAAGCAACACAGCTCATGCCCGCCTTGGTTTATCTTATTATTGAGGACACCGCTGACTTTCCCGCGCTTATTAAACGCCACCCACGGGCTCGGGGATCTCAGATAACGAGAGCGGTTTTTGAGACATCGTTTTCACACATGGATCGGCCACCACAGAGTCCAGACCTTAACCCCATTGAGAATGTGTGGCTCTGTGCAGCGGTCAGACTCTACCATCATCAGCGCTAGATCCTGGTAAACGTTAAGGCAACATGGATGGAGATAAATCTGGTGAAGCTATTTGAAACAACGCCACAGCGAATGCGTGAAGTAATCAAAGTTACCAACAAACTATTAGAGACCTGTTTAGTTGTGGCGACTTTTGTGGGCCGGACGATGTATAAAAAGGCCCCTTTTCCCTCTTCTTATATGTGTGGTTATATCTAGACCCTAAATAAAGTCAATACATTTGATCCTCATCTAACTGAAATATGTCATTTTGTTTGTTTTTGTTGACAGAATCACCCATTTAAGTCTGTAACAGTTTCCAGAACCTGTGAACTTCTTTATCAGAACAAACTGACACATTGCTGATCTCCAGCTGCTGTTTTACAAAACGTTAAAGCGAATCTCTGCAGAAGGTCAAACGATTCTCCCACTGCTTTGATCTTTTTGGGACTTTCATAACTAAAGACTGGGGTCATTTAGATTTACAGAGATAGTTTTTGCATCATTTTATAGTCTTAACTTGACTATAGGTGCATTAAACCCCACGTCTCCTTAGATCTGACTCAGGTACGGGTCTCAGATTGTGCTGCAGTATCAATAACCGTGTAGCGGTGGAAGTGTTTGACGTTACCTGGTGCTAAAACTCAGTTAAATGAAGCCTGTAAGTCTGATCTCATCGTGTCCAGGTAAGATCACGTCACTGGACACCAGTTTGCTGCGGGCATCCATGAAGCCAGGCTGGGAAGACCTGGTCAGACGCTGCATCCGGAAGTTCCACCTGCAGAGTGATGGAGACACATCCTTAGCCAAGAAACACCACCAAGAAGGTTCATAAATGATAAAAGCTTCCCGGTGATACTTTGGCGAAAAGGTGAAGTCATGGGTGAGTTTTCTAAGTGTTTTTCTGTTTGTGACCTTCCAGTGATGATGAACGGCCACGCGCTCAGCCCTCTGTACCGGTTCTCCCTGGCGGATGGCACCATGGTCTCCGCTCACACAAAGAGCAAACTGGTCCGGTCTGCAGCCACCAACGAGCCGCAGCTCTACATGTCCATGCACATCCTGCAGAGGTATCACTCGCTCCTCGCTTACACCAGTATGAAGTTCCAGGACCCAGAACTTCCTACTACAGCCTCATGTCCCTCTCCATGTACAAACTAACCAGTGGTTAGAAAACCAAAGACCTAGTTCTCCACAGCAGACAGAAACAGCTGCATGTCCAAAGTTCTCTGCTGCAGTTTTCCACACAAAGAGACCTTTCTGTGTTTTTGTTCTTCCAGGGAAAACCAGGGAAGCATGATTTCTGACATGCCCAGTGGCCAGGAAGTGGGCAAGTCGCTGACCCCGACCAGCCTGAGTGGGACTTTTCCTTCAGCTGATGTCGGCGTCACCAGCAACACCCATCACTCCACATCAGCTTGTGGCCCCCCCGGGCGTGGTTTCGGAGCTGCATCAGGACGGGCGACCACGCCTCAGGGAAACTGTCATCCTCTGAAGCTGGGCAGCCCTTCAGCCCACGGAAACCCCAGCATCACCTCTGGGGCCCCCAGTGCCATGTTGTCACCACGCCATCGCCAGAGTCCCAGCATGGTGGCGAGCAGCAGCAATTCTAGCAGCCCTCACCTCCTCCAGCATCCTCCTGGCTCTTTTTCTCCTGCAACTGGTTTGCACTCACCACCGTCTGTGTGCAGCAGCACAGGAACCAGCCAGGGGTTTAACTCCCTTAGCGCACTGCAAGCTCTCAGCCAGGGCCACGGGATCTCTCCCATCACTGAAGAACAGCATCCAGAGTCCCCTGACCAAAAACCAGCAGCTCTCCGGAGTCCCCCACACAGCTCCAACACTGGTAACCAAATCTCCAAGAGCAGTCCCAGTTTAGAGGCTGACTTTTTTGGAACTTTTGAAGAGCAGGAAGAGTTTTTGTCATCCCAAAACCAGGATGGTGCCCTGGGTGAAGGGAAGGATGGTGATCCCGATGCCCCGGGAGGCAACGAAGAACTTGGCGATGCCTCAAACCAGCATCTAAACACCAAAAGCCACACAAAGCTGCTCCAGCTCCTCACCACTAAGCTCGAACCCTCTGATCCCTGCTCTCCTACAGAGCCCATGGGGGATGAGCAGAACTGTAAGGACCAGCTGTGTGGGGCCGGCGGGGCCGGGCATAACAACCAGTCCACCTCTCTAAAGGAAAAACATAAAATCCTCCACAGGTTGTTGCAGAACAGCACTTCGCCAGTAGAGCTGGCCAAGCTAACAGCTGAGGCTACTGGGAAAGACCCTGCTGGTTCAGAGTCTGCTTCTGGGGACAGCATGGCTGCTCTCAGCGAACTCTGCACCAAACAGGAGCCGGGCAGCCCCAGAAAGAAGGACAATGCTCTGCTTCGTTATCTTTTGGACAGGGATGATAGCGGCATTCTAGACAAAGCCATCAAGATGGAACCTGCCGAACGACTGAAACTCGCCAGCATTAAGACGGAGAAGCAGGACATGGGGTTTCATTTGCCAGATCAGGTACGAATTTCTTAGTCATCGTGAAAATCTTTCCAAATGTTAGTTTCAGTTGAACCTGTGTGTGTTACACTTTTACACTTGTCCTACTTTTCTAAAGCTAAAATCCAAGAAAAGTGCCAAATTCAGTCTAATTTAGCAAAAAAAGGGCTAAAAACAAACATTCAAATCATAAATCTCACTCCCCAGCTACTAAAATCAGACAAAAATAGCCTAATATAAACAACGACACATGAAACTGTCTTTTATTTTTATTTTTTTTACTAAAACCTGGTGGAACACAGAATGAGCAACGTTCACTAGCTCAGCACGATAGGAGCAGATTAATGTTGAGTAAAAATGAACTTCTCAAGGCTGACTTTTGGAATGAGTTTCTGACGGCATCACATTTAGAATATTATTATTATTAATCAGAGGAGCTGAAAAAGCCCAAATCATCAACCGTCCACTGCCATGCTTGATAGTTGGAATGAGGTCTTTGTGCTGATTTTCTGAGTTTAGTGGAAAACCACGAGTCAGTGTGTGTAGCTCAAGTTCACTGCTTTAGCTAGGTGCTTCCTTTCAGCAAGTGGTGGGAAAAGGCTTTTTGTTTCAGTGTAATAAAGATCATTAGAATGTCACTGTTAGCATGCGTGTGTGTGTGTGTGTGTGTGTGTGTGTGTGCGTGTGTGTGTGTGTATGTGTGTGTTCAAAACCCTCTTGCTCTTTCCCTTTGTTACACAAGAAGACAATAATAATATTTTCTAACACATATTTGAGTGTTGAAGCACACCTGCTGCAGTTATTAGTTTATTTTTTAGGTTTTACTTTTTGGTTTTTGTAAAACTGACCTCCAGATTCAGTTTTTTTTCTTGGATCTTTAACTAAAAACAGGACGTTTCAGACTGTTTTATGCAGCGTGAGCTCTAAGTGGTGCACTCACAGAAGGAAACCTGGTTGTTGTGGTTGCTCTCAGGCCTCGGAGCTGGAGGACCTGCTGGATGACCTGCAGAGTGATGACCAGCAGCAGCACCTGTTCCCCACCCAGCCTCCATCCTCTTCATCTTCCTCATCAGCTGTGCCACCTGGCTCTTCTGTGGATAAGCAGACCATCATCAGTGACATCCTGCAGATGAACGACAGCAGCAGCTCCCCCAGCCAGCACAGAGCCTTCCCCCCCCTCTGCCCTGCGAGTACGGCTGGTGTTTTGATCGTTTTGCAGCCTGAGAGTCGTTTTAGTTGATCAAATCTTGAACCGGTTTCTTTCAACATGTTTGTATTTTGGTCCCGGCAGGTTTTAACGGCGCCAGACTGGAGCAGCCGAGTCAAGGTGCTCCTCCAGTCAGGAGCATGTCTCTAGATGGCAGCATGGGCACAAGTCCCACCAGGTCTTTCCCCCCTCAGCACAGGAACAAAGCTCCCTACTCCTTACTACAGCAGCAGCAGCAAGGCATGATGGGAACTCATTCCATCATGAGCAACCAGGCTGGGATGGCCAACACAGGTCAGGCAGAACTAGTGGTTTTATAAGTGTTTTTATTTCCTCGATTCGGAAATGATGTCAGATTTCATTGTTCTATCAGGCATCCGGGGCTCCATGCAGCAAGGTTGGGGTCCCCAGGGGTCATTAGGGTCCCCTGTGGGGCCAATGATGGGGCAGGGGGTTAGTCGCATGGTCCCCAACATGAACCACCCCCTCGCTAGAGGCGGCGCACCACCTGCATCCAGAGCCATGGCCAACATGGGGATGATGGGAACCGGTGCGAACACAAGCTAAAGTCGTCGCTAACATGGCGTGTGCTGATTCTGATCGTGTCTGTGCGTCTGTTTCCCGTGTAGACCTGGACATGTTGGCCCCTCCCTACCACCCTCAGCAGGCGCCGCCCAATCAGACGGCTCCGTGGCCCGACCGGATGATGATGGATCACTATGGAAACCAGAGCAGGTTTGGATTTCAGCTTTTGGGAAGAGTTGGTTTGAGCTGAGTTAAGCGTGACTATACGTTACCTCGCAGGCCGCTGTATGGCGTTCCCCATGAGGACAGTTGCTGTGGTTCGGGGCCTGAAGGCCAGACAGATGAGGGTGCTCTGCTGAATCAGCTGTGCTCCGTACTGAAGGACTACGAGGGTCTGGAGGAGATCGACAAGATGCTGGGAATCCCCACACTGGCAGGACAGGTGAGCTTCCTTCTTCTGATTGACCATGCCTACATGCCTTGTGTACATCACAGCTCTAAAACCCCTCTGTCCCCCTACAGGGCCCCCTGTCAGACCAGGACCAGTACTTGGGCTCCTCAGAGCCTCCACCCAGCCTGAAGCCTCCCCTCTACAGTCAACACTACGGTGGGCCGCAGAGCTATGGTGGTATGCCTCCAGACGGCGGGTATCCTGCTCCGTCCATGGGCCACATAGGGTCCCAGAGGATGGGACCTGCAGGTTACCACCCCATGATGAGGATGCCTGGTGGCGTCGGACCTCGGCCCCCTGGCATGAGACCTGGGGGGTCCAATCCAATAGTCCCACCTCAGCCCAACAACCTGAGGCTCCAGCTGCAGCAACGACTCCAGGCCCAGCTGGTAGGTGGCATCAGACTTTTTTCTTACCAACCTGTTCTAGTTTTTCTCCTGCTGGTGATGATAAAACATTAGAGACCGCCATAAGAGGTTTCCATGAGTGAAAATCATGCGACGGTAAAGTGAACATCAAAATATGAGTCAGACTAAACAGAAAGGAACAGTTTTTAGTTTAAAAAGATTCAACTTTCCACCTGAAATCTTAAAACTCCTGAAAACTTTACTTCTTATTAAGAAATGTCTTTCATGGTACTAGTCAGCCACTTCGAAGAGGGATCCACACACACCCTTTTGTCATCAGAACCTTTTGACCTCTTTTGAGTGCATATTTTGTGAGTGAGTTCAGGCTGTCCCCTGGTGGAGGAAGTAGGTTTAACAGTTTGAAAATGATCAGATCATTTAGACTTGAAAATCAGATAAAACGTCAAAATAAAAGTAAATGTCAGGATTACAAAACAAACCAGGAGTTCACGTATCAGAACCCATCTCAGCTTCATTATCAGGTTTAAGCCATTTATTATAAAAGAACAGTTAAGACCAGTGTTGGGAGTAACGCTGTTTAAAGAGCAAGTCACCCCCAAATCAACTTTTTTTTGCTGATAAACTAAATAAACGAGTGTCTAATCGTGCTGCAGACACGTGTCGTCAATAATTTGGCACTTCAGTGCATCTTAGTTAAAATTTAAATATTCTGCCTAAAACTGGCAGTGTTGTGCCGTTGTCAGGTAAAAACTCTGCACTGTATTCTAATTTAAATCTGCCACCGCTATTGGCTAAGAGGTATGCTATGATGTCATCTGGTACATTATGATGTCACAATGCTGTCGTGAGCCTGTGTGTGTATTTGTTAGCAGCTCCGCCCTCTCGGTCTGCCAGGCAACAGCATTTGTTGCATTTTTCAAAATGAAGTGGGAGTGGAGTTAGAATCTGGTAGGGGTTGACTTGCTCTTTAAATATAACGGCGTTACTTACGGCGTTCTTTTTTAGGTAACGGAATAATCTAATTACTTTTCCCACCGTTGCAACGCCGTTACCGTTACTGGGGACGGAAGGTTGTGCGTTACTATGTGCTTGTCGAACATTGAGCAACAGTGTGAGGCTTTCTGACCGCCACACTTCAGCTGCAGCCAGGGAGAGAGCGGTGTCGGTAACGCACTTACAAACACGATGATGACTGGCCGGGTGGGCGGAGACCCTCAGTGTTCTCACTGTCTCAGTCACTGCCTGCTGTAGACCCAACAGAGCAGTGATGTGAATAACGCCGTTTAAAATAACCACGTTAATAAAAAATAAAAAAAACTTTCTGTAATGAGCAAACTAATTAATTACCGTCTTCTTTTAACAAAACAATCGTTTCTGTTACTGATAAGAAAATGCGTGCGTTAAGCAGCCCGGTGTGTTGAAGCTGTCATCAGCTGATCAGGAGCTAAAGAGGTAGATGTTTTCATCCAAGCGCAGCACGGCCCGTGAAGAACGAGGAAGACGTGATTAATAGTCTACAGCTGCAGGTGGGAATCTGCAGCAGCGAATCTGCAGGTCTGCAGCCGTGCCCTTCTTAGCGTGACAGCGGGATGTCCCGAAGGTCCGCTCACCTGTTCACCGCTCAGACGTCCTGATCTTCTACCTTCCTAGATCATCCAGCTGTAACCTGTTTCTGATCATGTCTTTAGTCCCGCTGTAACACTGATGCACCAGTCCCAGACGTCATGGAGCTCAGGTGTTATTAGAACTACCTGTGTGTGTTTACCACCCAGCTTCAGCTCTTCTGTGGTTGGGTCTGACCCAAGTTAGTAAATGTGAGTCCTCCATCAGGCTTGTGCCTCTTCTAGTGTCTTTTTAAAGGATTTTATTTATTTAACCATTACTAGATTAGCAGCAACAGAAATGCTGCTAAAACACACAATTATGTGAAGCTGGAGAAATTAAAACGCTGTGCAAAATTACATTTATTTCTGTAATTTAACTAGACTGAGAGACCATTTAAAGGCTCGGGAACCTTTACAGGTGTTTCTATTTGCAATTTTAAATTTTAACTGATTGGGGTCTTGTTAAATATCACACAATGACCTTTTAATAGTCTAGATAAGTGTAATGTTCCTGTTAGTAGTCCCTCCTGTTAAGTGCTTATTTATTTAAATTATTCTGGGTTTATAAAAAACATTTGGACATACATTTTATTATGTTCCAGTCATTAGTCATTTATTTCACTATTGTAATAATTCTTGTATGCTTTAATGAAAAAAGTAACTAAGTAGTTATTTTTCTTGGTAACTAGTTACTTTTATAATCTTGTAACTCAGTTAGTAACTGAGTTATTTTTTGACAAAGTAATCAGTAACTATAACTAATTACTTTTTTAAAGTAACGTTCCCAACACTGGTTAAGACGTCAATCTGCAGAATTATATCTGATCAGCCAACTTTTGCAAAGTATTATTAGACACCAGATCTCTTGCATAATAATGCATATATGTATTGTATATTTAGTAGGTGTGTATTGATTTGCTTCTACATAACATAAAAGTATCACTGCCCTGAATGCCAGTAGCGGGAGGAGAGTTACGCTATTCATCTCAACCGAATGTAAAGATTTCTGCATTTATTTTAGCTTTTAAATGCAAATTTCTGAATTAAAGGGCTTGCTAAGACTATGTTAACCAGGTTTGTGTTCTGTATTCACCAAATATATTGTTAGAAATACACAGGGACTTCATTAACTCCAGGATTTGAAAATATAAAATCCTGGACAGAAAATACAACAGATGTCAAATCCATCCATTTTCGGCCGCTTATCCGGGGTCGGGTCACGGGGGCAGCAGCCTAAGCAGGGAGGTCCAGATTTCATCTCCCTAGCTACTTGGACCAGCTCCTCCAGGGGAATCCTGACGCATTCCCTGGCCAGCCGAGAGACATAGTCCCTCCAGCGTGTTCTCGGTCTTCCTTTAGACCTTCTCCCAGTAGGGCTTGCCTGGAAAACCTCACCAGGGAAGCGTCCAGGAGGCATCCTGACCAGATGCCTGAGCCACCTCAACTGGCTCCTCTCGATGTGGAGGAGCAGCGGATCTACTCCGAGCCCCTCCCGGATGACCGAGCTTCTCACCCTATCTCTAAGGAAGAGCCCAGCCACCCTGCATTGGACCACAACAAACCGGTACAACGCCCACATCACTGCAGACGCAGCACTAATCCACCTATCGATCTCACGCTCCAGCTTTCCCTCACTCATGAACAAGACCCTGAGATACGTAAACTCCTCCATTTGAGGCAGGACCTCATTCCTGACCTGGAGAAGGCCTTCTACCCTTTTCTGATTCAAGACCATGGTCTCAGATTTAGAGGAGCTGATTCTTTTTTGACCAATTTAACTCTTTGAAATAATTGATGTTGTACCATCCTCTCTAATCCTGTTTGTTCTCTAACGTCTGATTTTCTGTCACTCAGAACCGTCAGCCAGTGGTAACCCAGATGGGTGCAGTCTCCAACATTAATCTACCTCTAAGGTCTAACGTACCCACCCAGGTCAGCTGCTCTCACCTGTAAACACACACACACACATCTCTCTCTCTCTCTCTAAACTTGGTAGATTTTGTGAATTTTTTTCTGCTGCAGGGGAATCTCAGCGCCCAGATGCTGGCCCAGCGTCAGTACCTCAGCAACCATCTCCGCCAGCGTCAACAGCAGCAACAGCAGCAGCACGTACACCAGCAGCGTGCCATGATGATGCGTACGCCGGGCATCAACCTGCCACCCAACATGCCCAGTGGGGGTGCTGCTCCCACTCCGATGCCCATGGGCGGCACCAACCCACGGGTACCACAGAGCAACATTCAACGGTTTCCCTACCCAGCCTCCAGCTACGGTACCGGCCTGCCCTCTCCTCCTCCTCCTCCTCCTCATCCCGGATCCTCCAGCCCCTTCTCCTCCCCTGTCTCCCCCAGTCATCTCCTGGCAAGCCAGGGCATGATGGGAAATTTAGGTGGGCAGTACAGTGGTGTAATGAGCCCGTCATCACAGCACAGTGCCTTCCAGTTCAGCAGCTCAGGTCTGTGTGTTCTTCATGGAGGATGTGGTTCTGCCATCACAAATCTCTGAATCTGCTTTTCTGTTTATTTTCATTTACTGGATAAAAGTAAATCTGAATGAGGAAAAAACACCTGTAGCAGCTTTTTTATTGCTAGTCGACTATTGGTGGCAATTTGCTGCATTTACCATTCTCACCGTAAAACTGTCTTTGGTTTTTGTGTTCCCGCCCCTGCAGGAATGAGCCAGCAGCACCAGGACCCGGCGTCGTGCTTTCCATGTGGGGCTGCCACTCCTCAGAGCCCCCTGCTGTCCCCCAGGATGGGGCAGGGTCAGAACCCCATGATGCAGCAGAGCCATGTCCAAACCCAACCCCCGACCACTAACCAGGGGGGTCCCCCCAGCTACCAGCCAAGCACCGACCTCAATGGGTGGTCTCAACCTGCAAACATCTCCACCAGCAACAGGTAGCAACAGATTCTGATGTTACATCTCTAATCAGATACTTTCTGAATGCTTACGAATCAGCTGGTCTTTTCCCAGTGTGTACCCCCAGCAGTCCCAGTCCCAGTACTCCACACAGCTCAGTGGTGGGATATACAACAGCTGCACCATGAACCTTGGAGGCTCCATGTCAGGGCAGATGGGCGAGCAGGTAAGCTTCCATGGCCGTGTTGCTTTTCCACGCCTCAGCTGACCAGAAACAGTGATCTAGTTTTTCTTTATGTTGTTGCTGCAGCTGACTGACAGCAGCCTCACCCTGGAGCAGCTTGCAGAAATCGACATGTTGACCCAAGAGAGCGACGTCAATTCTGTGAGGAAAACTCTGTTTTAAGGATTTGATTTGATTTGTGTTTTATGACCAGACAAACACCTGCTGGGTTTTAGTCCAGCTCAATGTCAGAAGTCTGAAGTCCTGTTTGGCTTCTATTGTCCTAAAAAAAAGCTCTGCTGATCTTTACAGATGAATAATGGCTCTGTTGGAAGACCTGTTGCTATAAATGACATGAAGGAAACTGTTCGTTACACCTGGAGATGACTCTAGGCTCTTATAAGAATGGAGTCCCTCAGGGCTCACTGTTCAGTAGAGTTGGGCATCGAGCATCGATTGGAACCGATTCCAACTGTTCATTTTCCCCGGAATCGCTTAAAGTTTTTGTTTATTTTTTCGATTCCTAGAATGCCGACCGGAAGAGGAATCCGCGGCCGATCTCCATGAAAAATAAACGTGATCTGCAAATTATGATCAAAGCTTTTCAGCTGATCACACCAGCTGTCTGTGTGCAGCACGAGTCCCTCCTCCCCCCACCCAGATATAAACAAACGTGTCTGCCGAACTTTTACTCCGTAATGTAAACTTTAACTCCTGCAGCGTAGAGGAAACTTGTTTAAGTACGTCAACACGGTGGATTTAATAGAAGCTTTAAAGAACAAACTCTGGATGGTGTGAGGTGAGTTAGTCTCACTGCAGAAATAAAAACACACACAGAGCATCAGCAGTCAGACGCAGCCGCTCACCAACACGTGTGTGTGTGTGTGTGTGTGTGTGTGTGTGTGTGTGTGTGTGTGTGTGTGTGTGTGTGTGTGTGTGTGTGTGTGTGTGTGTGTGTGTGTGTGTGTGTGTGTGTGTGTGTGTGTGTGTGTGTGTACCTATGGTGTGAACCAGTTGTTAATAGCTGGCCTAAGAGTTTCTGCCTCTCTGTCCTGTTTGCTCCAGTTGAAAGACACCCAAAACCACACCCCCTTCACGTGGTCACACAAACACACAAGTTTGCTGTGTGTGTTTGTGTGGTTTTCATGCAGTGTCTGTTTACGAACACATTTGACTATCGCAGAATTGTATTTGCTGGTCGGTTTCGCGCCAAACCGGCCCGCCAAGTTGTCCGACTTAGCCCTTTGAAGCCTGCTGTTGCCGAGATGATGGCGGGCAGCTCGTGGAGCAACGCTCGGATGGCAGGGAGCGGTGTGGAGGTAGCCTGGAGAAGGGGGTTCAGGTCCCGTTTGGGAGCCCGAAGGTCTGCAGCCTCCGAGGACATCTGTGAGGATCCCGCGCAGCTGGGCTGCTCAGTGTCAGAGCAGGTTCCGCTGGTTCCAGGCGGGCATCAAAGAAGTCCATGGCCTCCTCCAGTGGAACAGTGTCGGACGCCGCAAATTCGCCCTCAGAGATGGTGGTGAAGTAATCCACACGCCGGAGCTTCTCGGCCACCGGCAGGAGCTTGCAGAAGTGGCAGGCAGCCTGAGGTGTAAGGATGAGGCTGGCGTGTCTAGGCCCAAGGCAGATGTCGCGTCTGGCATGGAGGTCACCGGGCATAATGTATGCCGTGTTGCAGGACTGGCACAGTCTGACTGCTTCGCTCGTCATGGTGTAGTAGTAGTCAGGTCTGTTGAAGAACTAAATGGAGACGATCCTTGGTCCTCATACCTCTTTATAGGACCAGGGCCCACCTGATAGGCGGGAGTACATTAAAGCTCTTCAGTCATTGGTCGTTGTCGGGGACTAACTCCCAATAGACTAGGCTTAAAGGGCGGAGCCATACGACATAGAACTTCTCTGGTCCCATCCCAGTAAGGAGCCAGGTGGCTCACATTAGAGTGATTGCAGGGTGGCGTGAGTCATCTAATAAAAGGCAGCGGCCTGCTTTTTCAGCAGGACAGCTTTGGTATGGCACTTCAGGTGCTGGGGTAATGAGAAACCCCAACTGCTAGCAGCGATTGTAAGTACTCTCCCTCCTGTGTTGTGTGGCATTAGCTAAAGCTTGTTGCTCCATCTTAATGTGTTTTGTATCGTGTGATCGCAGACTGGAGCTGCATATGCTGTTACAGCATTAAACTGCACCCAGGTACTCCTAATCAGTTCTCAGCCCATGTGTGTGTGGCAGCCGTTTTAAGGCTGATCTGACTCAGCCGCGCTATGACCGTAAGTCTTTGCCTCTGATTGGGGAGGGTTGTACTGATTCAGGGGGATCATGCCAGTCTGTTTGCACTGTGGCTGCCCGTCTGTGTGCCGAGAGCTGCTTTTACATGCAGCGGTGCCACCCAGAATAGCGGAGCGTTTGACGGCGTCTGCTGTGCACTGGCCCTCCTGCTGCTCCATCTCGTCATCCCGCCGTGACCAATTTCATCTCCAGAGCCGGTTGTGGGCCCAGAAGACTCCTCACTGCTGTTCTGTCCGTATGGATTTGTTCCACATACAGGATTGGTGTTAATTGTTGGGCGTTGGACGCCTGGTTGCCGGGGCAACCACTAGTGAACCCCGAGCTCTTAAGCTCAAACATCATGTTTTTAGTTTAGATATTTAATAAAGAGTTGCTGTACTACAACTGTATCATCTGTTCCCTCTGTGATTATTTTTTAACCTACGGGCCTTCTACCCTTCCCTGGAGCGGTTAACCCAGGGCAGCGTTGTTGCAACCACCTTTTTAAACATTTATTCCTTTATCACAACTACCTCTTGCCACAATAGAATTAAAATTCATGTTGAAGTTAAGATTATTTAATCAAGTAGGACCTGTGGTTAGCTAGCTCATGTAAAACCTGTCATGTCTTCAAAGATTTGGAATCGGAATCGTTCAAAATCAAACTATGCCCAACCCTACTGTTCAGCCCATGTTATTTTTCAGTTACTGTGATCTGAGTTTTCTTAAGGGTTATGAAAGCCAAAGTTCATAATTATTGCTGTAACTAGACATTTTCCAAGAAGGCATCTATTTTAGCTTGATTAATAATTATTATTTTGTCCCACAGCGTTTCAGCCACAGCTCCTTTGTTTACTTCCTAATGAAATGAATGTAGGTTTTATTGATAACGTGTTTCTGATTATTATTTTTGTTTTGCAGAATTTCTGCTGACCATGACCATGGTCAGGAGGAGGGAACTAGGGACCTGTGTTGGAACGCTGGAGCCCACTCGAGCGTGAAGATGCCGAAGGGAGTGCGGCTCCTGTCGGCCCACTTTAAGGCACAACAGATGAAGGAAAAACCGACACATGCAAACTCTGATCTGCAGTCATTTCCTGCTTCATATTTTATGCAACAAAAGTCAGAAACTACAGAGAACCAGAAAAACACAGTTGTACAATAATCTCAGAGGAGAATGTAGTTTCTGATTCAGGGTTTTGTGGGACACGTCTCTGGCAAACCATCAGTTTGTGCTTTACAGTATTTATCTGTACGGTGTTCTGTAGAAACTCGCACATGGTGCTAAATCAGCGGAGTCGAGCTGCTTTAAAAACAAACAAAAAGCAGATTTTTCATATTTACTCCAAATGAAGCAAGTCTCACGGACCTGGAAAACTTTTACTGATGTCTTTAGGAACTTACACATTTCCTTCAGATTTTTTATTTAAGTTATTATGTTTAGTTGAATTCCACACACCAGCATCTTACTGTTCGCTACCATTTTGTACCAATTAAACAAAGCAGACACACCCTCATCATTTGCAATATGTTTGCAATCACACACTGGATTACTATCAGTAAATATTACTGGCACTTATTTAAACCTATAAGAAAATAATAAACACTGGAATTTGGAGCAAATTTGAACAGGTTCCAGACCAAGAGCTTTTCTTTTGAAATGTGAGGTTCGGGACCTTTTTTAAATAAAATAAGTTGATGTGTTTTTGTTTTTTTGCAGTAAATCAATCTCTTGAACTGTTTTTAAAATCTTGTCTCTGGTTTTTTAACTGAGGTTGTTGCCATTTGGGGCTATTGATGTCAGAAGTGAGCGTTTTTAGTCACTTCACGGCCACAATCAAAGCAACTAAATGTGATCTTCTGAAGCAGGGTATAATTGTGCGTGTGCGTGTGTGTGTGTGTGCGTGTGTGTGTGTGTGTGTGTGTGTGTGTGTGTGTCTACTGAAACGTAGAGGTGATTGAAGGAAAAATCTGTTTGTAAACAAACAATGTAATGGTTCTATTTTAGAGCCAGACTGATGACAACGGTGACAAAATTCTATATAAATATATATACAAAAGTATTTTAGTTATTTATAGTTTTGAAGACGTTTTAGAGATTATTTGTATGAAAAAATCCAGTTTATCTTTCAGAAAATCTCATTGGTACTCATTGATGTTGATTGAAAATTAATATATTTGAATTGCTGTAGTAGACAGGAAATGTGCCCCTATTTAATGATTTTGAATAAAGATGAATGTGTATAGATGGTCTCATTCATTTGTATTTAATCCCTTTTCCCAAAGTGGTTTTGGTGTTTGTTTGTTTTATCCACCTTTAAGGCGCAGAAGTGAATGGTAAATGACCTGTATTTTATATAGTGCCTTCTAGAGTCCTGGAACCCCCCAAGGTGCTTTACAACACAGTCATTCACCCATTCCCACCCTGGTGGTGATGATCTACACTGTAGCCACAGCAGCCCTGGGGCACATTGACAGAGGCACCACCTGTCCCTCCGACCACATCCAGCAGGTAAGGTGGGTTAAGTGTCTTGTCCAAGGACACAATGACAGTCTGGGCTCAAACCTGCAACCTTCCGATTACGGGGCGAGCACTTAACTCTTGTGCCACCATGGCCTCGTGCATCTTTTATCTGTTGGATGAAGGACAAACGCACAAGTTTAGGTCTTCACTATAATCTAGAGCTGAAATTTGACTAAAAGCATGATTAATGTGGCCGTGGCCGACGTCACATGTGCACAGGCTGCAATAAAATCAACTGAGATTTGATTATTGAACAGGCAATATAAGAAAACTGTTTACTTTCCAAAGTTGGCAGTTCGGATAGCATTCTGCACCTCTGACAATTTTGGTGGATTCTTTTTCCAGGAACTGACAAACATTCCTGCTGGTGATCATTAGCAGTGTTAGCGCCAGGGACAAATAATAATACAGCACACTCCAACATGCCAACTAGACTCTTGCCTGCACTAATATTTAGACCAGGGGTGTCCAAACTTTAAAGCCGAGGGCAAAACCTGTTAAGTTTAGGCTCCTCGTCAACCTTAAAAGTTTTCTTTTTTATTTAAAAATAATTTTAAGGTCAATTTTTTTTTTCATTTTAGTGCTCTAAATATGTCCAAAACATTCTTATTAGTAATAATTTGAACATAAACATTGTTCAGTTTCAGTGGCGATCTGCATTAACAGCTAACTGAGGTGTTGCAGAATATATATATGTATATATATATATATATATATATATATATATATATATATATATATATATATATACACACACACATTCAATTCAAAAATTCTTTATTAATCCCAGAGGGAAATTGATTATACATGCATACAGTACAGACCAAAAGTTTGGACACACCTCATCCAATGTGTTTTCATGACCATGGCAATTTACCAAGGGGCCAACGAGTGCTAAACACCTCTGGGGACTCCTTCAAGACTGTTGGAAAACCATTTCTGGTGACTTCCTCTTGACGCTTAAGAGAAAACCAAGCGTGTGCAAAGCAGTAATCAGAGCAAATGGTGTTTTTTTGAATAAAATAGAAAATAAAACATGTTTTCAGCTATTTCACCTTTTTTGGTTAAGTACATAACTCCTCATGTATTCGTTCATAATTTTGATGCCTGCAGTGAGAATCTCCCAATGTAAATGGTCATGAAGATAAAGACAACACATTGAATGAGAAGGCGCATACAAATTTTTGTCCTGTACTATATATATATATATATATATATATATATATATATATATATATATATATATATATATATATATATATGGGGCTGTGCAGAGACCTTTGAAGGGGCGGGTGCTCAAAGTAAAAAAAAAAAAGAGCACATATAGAGCAAATTTTTTAAACAGATTTAAGATCCAACAAGTTTGAAAATTCTGATAATGAGATCCTTGGGTTCTAACAACAATATAAACTAGGAAAAATATGCAATTTAGTGTCATTAATTGAAGGTAATGTTAGTTCAGAAATAATTGCTTTAGTTTTTAAAACTGACTTGTATCTAGGGATGTTACAACCATTTGTCCAAGTTGTTCGATTTTTGATTATCTTCCAATACTGAGTCCTGTTCCGATACAAGGGAGTAATGCAATGTGTTACAAAAAAAAAGAAGATAATGGAAGAACACACAAGTTGTCCTTCTGTCAGTATTTGTTATTTTACTCATTTAGCCTTAAAAGCCACTCATTCAGGAAGTACATTGAACAGTATTCCAAGATTCTAAATAATTTGTCATTGCACATGTGCACAACAACACTGACTTTGCGCTCACTAAAGACAGCTCATATAAGAGGTGGTAAAATATGAGTAAAAAAAAATAAGTAGAATACATGCAACCATGTGAAGTTATCCAGTGTGATCTGCAGCTCTGTTGGCTGGGGTCTTTTCCTGTCTGTAGGAAATTCCTGATCCAATTCCATGATCTCATTCTGAACTTCACCCTAAACCTGAGAGCTCTGCTACCAACCTAACAACATCCTTTACACAATATCAGACTGGATACCACCTTCTCTCCTTATGAGGGCACACACACACACATGCACACCTCTTTTAACTTCTATTCATTTTAGTGACTCCACCATGCCTAACTCATACCCTAACCCTAACTAATGGAGTTCTACTCCTAACCCTAATTTAAACTAATCTAAACTAAAGGTTAATTCACACCATACCTCTAAAACACATTTTAGGATAGTCAACATTGTGTGGACCAGCAAAATGTCCCCACAACATAAAATTGTCCCCATGTTACAGTAAATATTTGTCCACTTAAGCATATAAAGACAAGTACACACACACATTCACACAGAGTTGACATTTCATACCATTTCCAGAATACTGCACATACTATTCCATAGGTTTTCTTCATGGTGCTGATTTCCCTCATTATTTATTTCTAGTGTTATAATAACAATGTAAAAGTTAATAATTAAAATACATAATAAAGTAATAAAACACATGTATTTATTCTCATATTCACTTTGAACCATGTCTTCATGGGCGGGAGAACATTCATCACACGTTTAACCCTCTATGACCAGAATTATAACTGGACCACCCTGTATATTTTTTTGTGCTATGGCTGTAAAATTGTAATAAAAAGTGCTAAATGTGTGTAACTCAGTAAAAATGCAGCTTAAACGTATAAAAAATAATAATTAAATGGATTTGAATTTTTTTCATATTTATTACTGAACAGGAACTTCAAAAGGACTAATTTCAAATAAACTATTTAAATTCTGAACGGTGTTACAAAGCATGAACCCTGGCCTCATGTTGACCAGTTTATGACTGTTTCTATTTTCTAAATTCCTGACTGCAGCCCTGTCAGTGACCACAGGTGGGTATACCTCTGGTTCAGAGAATGGCATGGAGTAAAATAAATATGAGGCAACATAAGATAACACTCATTCATTCAGGACTGCATATGTGAATTAGCTTCACGCTAAGTCTGGTACAATGCATCACATTTCAATATTTATGTTTAATACTGTACATGGCCCTTAAATAAACATTCATCACAACTAGCTACATTCCTACCAGCATTATAAAGATCAGTAAGCCACATAAAAGGTAATAACATGTGAAAGTTAAACATTTCATGACATAAACTTAACTAATAAAATTCTGCACCGATATGAATTTCTATTTTCAGCTAAATAAATATTTATTGTATATATATTAATAATGCTGGAATGAAGCTGAATCATTTAGTAAATGGTTGAGTGTTCAAATAAAAACAAGTGTGACTGTAATCTGTCCCTCCTGTGTCACCATCTACAGAAACTTCTGGAACACCTGACCAACCAGGTGGATTTTCTGTGTGACATTTCCATAACGTTATAAAAGCTGCTGATGCAGATGATCAGATCATCTCCTCCGGGTCGTTCTCCGTTCTCCCGTCGCGGTTCGCTCCGTTTCTGTCTGTGACGCTGCAAAGCCGGTTTCTCTCTAATTGGAGTAATGTGAATTACATCATGTAATACCTCGTTAGAAAGCTCGTTTTATGTCCTTTTTGAAACCGTTGGAATTATTTTAATTCGATCAGTCATTCAGAAGTTATGACGCGGAGAAACTAGAGTGAGAAATAGCGTGGTTCTTGTGTTTCTCCAGTTATCACTTCAGAAGAAGTCTCATGTTCGCTTTTTCTGATATGCTAACTGCTCGACACACACACACACACACACACACACACACACACACACACACACACACACACACACACACACACACACACACCACAGACTCAAACCTCTGCACGTGCCTGATTTTATATATATATATATATATATATATATATATATATATATATATATATATATACATGTATGTATACACACACACACTTCGCTGTGTCCTGTTGTAGTTGTGTCCAAGGGGTCTTCAGCCGAGGTGGATGCAGGTTACGTTGTCCTGTAGGTGGGCTCAGGGGGAGCCCCAATCTGTCGTTTCAGTTCCAGTTCTAGTACCCCCTCAAATACAGCTGTCTCAGTTGTTCCATCAGGTGCTGAGAGTCGGCCCAAGTGCAGGGCCATGAGTACAACCACCAACATCAACAATGTGGTGAACCCAGCAAGCTCAAAGCAGTTCTTTATCTTATCTTGATCTTATCTTCACCGGGTTTGAAAGACGGCACCCTAGTGGTGGTCCACCCCTTTGTAGCCGGACTTCGTTACCACCCTAGTGGCAGTTGGTTGATAAGCTTGCAATGGGATCGATGAATCCAAGATGGCCTCTCAGCAATCTTCACAGTAGTGGGAGTAATGATGAGTACTTCGAATGGACCTCTGGCTGCCCCATCTGTTTCGCTTCAGCACCTTCATCAGAACCCAATTTCCTGGTTTCACGACCTGTGGCGAACAAGCACAAGAAAATTCTGGGAGATCACAGTTGATTTTGAATTGTTTTCAGCAACAATCATCTAATATTTGAGGTAATTCCATCCAGGTAGTGTAGTAATGTGAGGAAATGGTTATCAGTCTCCCCTCCTGTTGAGGCATGAGGGAACTTGTAATTACTAGATCACGTTAGCAGGGGGCAGAGTTGTGCAACACAGTGTGTACAAAAAAAAAAAAAAAAAAAAAAAACAACTAACAAAAAGCCATAATCCATGTAAAGAAATTTGAAAATAAACACTAAAAGTGATTTACATCACCTAGGAGTAACAGGAGAAACAGTAGTAAATGAGCTGTAGCAAACATTTAAATCCAATGAAATCAAAAGAATC